GTCCTGCCTTACTTGAACAGGGTTTTTCAAAATCATTCTCAGAAATTTCAATAATAGTTGTTGCGGAAACCCACTGGGGGTATTTCTCTTTAAATCTATTAACCATACGATTACATTTTGATAATTTTTGGCTAACATATGCTAATAAATTTTGTGTTTTTTTTCTTATTTCATCTTTTTTCTTTAAACTTAACTCATTAGTATTAATTTTTTTTAAAAACCCAATCCAAAACAACATTAGTTTTGCGATCGCCCTCTATCCAAACTCCAAGCATTTCTTCGTGTTGGAATTTAAAGGTTGCTGAAAATTACAAATATACTTAAATGGGGCAAAAACGGGCCAATGTTACATACATGATTTTAAAGAACATAGCCCAAACTTCCACCGAACATAAAAATCTGGAACAATACGGGACAATACACACAACTTTCACTCCACAGAACACAGGTTAATACGAAATTTTCGGTTAAAAAAGCTATCAAACAAAACTCCACACTATACAGATATAACACAATACCCCACATTTTTTTCCATTAAGTTAAAAAATAGATACCTTTCTTATATTCTTCCATTATAAATTTATTTCTTTTTTTTCCTTTTTAACTATTATCGAACAGCTGTTTTTTACAATATTTTACTGAACTGTTTACAAGTTTGTTGTTGCTTCAGAAGCATCATGTTTTACAGTTCATATTTAGAACAGAGTTGCCATATGCAAATAATTTTTTGTATATTTARGACCACTGAAATGTCTCAATTAATACTGCGTACCTATTTTTTTGAAATAAGAAAAAATAATTTTTGGATTTATGCCAAAAAATTTGAATTTCAGACCATAGTGGAATGGCCAAATAGCGTATTTCAACTCAGAGAACAGTCAACAGAAACACCAATAGCAACAAAACTAACATTGACGTGTTTTTTCTCAACTTTCTACAGTGATCCGTTTGCGAGAACATTGCTCTAATGCATTAGGACGAAATAACACAATCCACCCAAAAACGACGATTGCTTCTACCTTCGGTTGCTATTGATTAATGTACGCGGTTCAACTTCATATGAGTCATTGCGTACTGTGAATGGTACTGTGAGTGCAAGTTTTGGAGAAGCTAGCCAGCAATTAGAATTGCTGGAACATGATAATTACTGGTTTGGTTGAAAACGCAACAACAGCCTCTGATGAGAGACCCCCCTTTTCATGACGACCATGGCGAACGAAACAAGCACTACGAATTGAGGGCATGCACCTGGAATGTCCGGTCCCTTAATTGGTAGGTGCCACTGCCCAGCTGGTTGATGTCCTCGTAAAAATAAAGGCTGACATCCCCGCCGTCCAAGAAATGCGATGGACGGGACAAGGACAGAGACGAGTGGGTCCTTCTGACATTTACTACAGTGGCCATATAAAGGAGCGCAGGTTTGGTGTAGGACTCGTGGTGGAAAAGAGACTCCGTCGCCGAGTACTATCATTCACCTCGGTGAATGAACGTCTAGCCACAATCCGCATCAAAGCGAGGTTCTTCAACATATCGCTGATTTGGTCCCACGCCCCGACGGAAGAGATGCCTTTAATGAGTGCTTGGAAAGCACTTATGAGAACTGTCAATGCCACGATGTCAAAATCGTGCTTGTCGACTTTAACGACAGGGTGGGCAAATAAGGTACCTTTGGCACTACGGTCGGTAAATTCAGCCTCCTC